TAGATAGCTCAGGGATGGTTTCAAGGTCGTCACTCAGGTCTTCAGACATAATCAGGACTTGCAATTGCTTTTTCTTACAACGATGGCTAGGTTGATATTTCTCATCATACTTAAAACAGAGGCCAAGTTCACGGTGCCGCTCAATCTCTGCAATGGTATACTTACAGGGAACCGACTTGGAAGTATAAGTAACTGGAACGGAAATCTTTTTAGAATCTTCGGAAGTCTTTGCGTCCCCAGACTTGGCCGAACTGAAGGAAGAAAATGAAAAAGACTTGGGCGCATCTGCAGGGCAAATCCACACATAAACGAAGCCCTAGTGGTGACTTGTCTATCATTAAGCCAAGATCGAGAAGGCCCAATAACGCATGGGCCATAACAGTATGATAAAACCCCATTATGCTCCTCCAAACGAAAGGCCATATCCATACATTCAATAAGTGCTGCAGGCCTCAACAATTGCAAATCCACCTTAATCTCGACCTTTAAACCGTTCAAAAATGCAACAATCAGCACTTCTTCATCACAACTTCCAAGAGTCGTTGAAAGTAATTCAAAACACTCAATATACTCAACAACACTCTTGTACTGTTTAAGGGCCATCAACATTTCATAAGTGTTGCCACACCACGATAGATAGAAGCAAAGAATCAAATCCCGTTTCAACTCTGTGCACGTAATGACTGGAGCACAAACTTCCTTCCACCAAAACCAATCAAGAGAACGACCTTCAAAACTTAGGACAGTAGCATCAAGTTTCTCCGAGTTGGGAATTTTGTTGAACTTGAAATACCGTTCAACCTTAAAAATCCATCCCAGTAGTTCATCACCCGAAAACAAGGACATATCCAAACAACGATAGGAAAAATCACCTCCTTCACTGCTACTTTGATCCTCAATGCCAATCACACGAGGATGAATGCTATCATCCTTTGGTGGCTTAAAAGTACCAGTCAGTGACTTCGAAGAGGTACCAAGAGGAACATCCGGATTCCCAGACTGTTTGCCAAAACGCAACTCCGCTAAGACTTCATTTAACAAGGAAGTGATCGTAGCAAATCACACTTGACCGTACCCAGATCCGATTTTCATAAAAGATATATCAACACCTAATTGCTCAATGAAATGCTCCGCTTGAAGCATCTAAGAATCAAAACCATCCGGTCGACCCTCCATCCGAGTGCTAACTATGCCCCCAAAAAAGAACAGCTCTGATACCTTTAATGAGACTCAAATACTCTGATGTATTATTCAATCACCAAAGCTCCACAAATTGGCTCCAATATCAACTAGAGTCACACAGACCCTCCTAGACTTCACTCAGTCTTTCCATACCCCCCTCAACCAACAGAATCCACATATATACCCATCTTCTCTCTCCCTAACCATTTCTAGACAATAACCCAAAATACCCTTGTCATAAAAGATATCCAAATTACTGGGCTAGGCTCTTCTTCTGCCTAAAATATTTAAGTTTGAGCCCATGTTCATTAGATTTTCGTGACTGCTTACCCTCAATATTGGGCTTGGCAGAACACAGCAATATAGTCTTGCCATTATACTTGAAGGAATACGTATTCTCTCGTCTACAATTGATGACGTCATGATCATAAAGCCATGGTCGTCCTAAAAGAATATGAGCAACATCCATAAGGATAACGTCACAAACAATTTCTTCTTTATAGTCACCAAGCCGAAGAGGGACTCAGTATTGCTGTGTGACTAGTAAAGAATCTTGCCAACCTATGCAACTCTAAAAGATTCAGGATGAAGTTCTATTTTCAGACCAAGTCTAGGTACCCCTTGATTGGAAATCACGTTACTCGAACTTTCTCCATCAATGACCAACTTACATGACTTATCACCACACTTAACAAAAGTATGAAAGATACACCCCCACCCTCAAGGTGACGAGTCTCACAACCTTGCTCATCAATAATGATTTCTTCATCAACATCTGATGAAAGCTCAACAAGGTCTATTACTACATCAGCTTTGTCTTCTTCCACGTTCTCAGGGTGTGAATCAAGGACCAAAACTTGTTAAGGGCATTTAGATGCAATATATTCCTTTGAGTGACAACAAAAACATTCAATAAGAGAGTTGCTACACGAGAGCTTAAACCCAGGGACTCGCTAGGCTTCACGGTGTCCCTTTTGATGCCCGTTGCTTAACAAGGTGAAGAATTAGTTCGGGATGTGAACAGGGCTCCAATAGATCGTTCAATAGAGTTGAAGCTACGAGTTGCCCGAGCTAGAGTGCCTTGGTTGTCAAACACCTCATAGACGGGTGTTGTAAAAGAGATTCTATTTCCATTGCTATTCTTCAAGTGATGCAGGAAAATTGAGCTTGAGATCCTTTTTATTCAAGTCCATTAACAAATCGGGTAATGGTACACCATTCTTCCTTGTCTATGTCACATCGAACTAGGAGTTTATCAAATCGCGACACATATTCAGAGGCATTTAACACTCGTCTCAAGTTGAGAAGCTTGTCAAACAACCAGCTCATATAATGAGCTGGAGCATACTTCTCTTTTAACTTTCCCTTCATTTCATTCCACATCATGATTGGGGGTAGATCTAATCGCTCCATGTATTGTTGCACATTCTGCCAATACTTCCTTGCAATCCACAAGCTTCATCTTTGTAAACCGGACTCTTTGAGCATCATTTATGTCATACCACTCAAAGTAGTCTTCCATGTTTGCTAACCAGTCTAGGAAGGCACCAGGATTTAGCCTCCCATCAAATTCTAGGGCGTCTACTTTTACCTTCTTAGTGATACTCTTATAGCATTGTCTTAACCATGCCTATGGGTTGGTTCACATGTCCTATCATGATAGTCACCCCACGTATCACTTATATCTTCAAATTGATTACGGTTACGTGAAGGTAGTTGAGTAGGCCTATTATCTACTCCAGAAGATTGACTAGTCCTAAGAGAGGTAGCTCTAGGATAATTAGGAGCAAAGGATCAATCATTTCTAAAGTTTGGCTCTATTACATCCTAAAGCCTTTCTAAAATTCCTTCAGTTATCTTTCCTGTTTGTTGCCTATCTCTTAACTAAATAGCACTCATAACTTCATCAAATCTACTATTCATTTCTTCTTATAACTTAGTAATTCGTTGGTCGAACTCAATAAGTTATTGGTCCACATATTCTTTATAAGTCTTACCAAACTTCTCAAGGTCATCCACGGTGATGAACAAATTATTAGACATGGCAGTTTTAAGGGTGTTTATCTCTTGCTCTAATAATTCTTGCCTATCAGATACTTCTTGAAAGGTTATGTGAGGCATTGGACACGAGGAAAATATAAGGCTAGGTAGGCATTAAGCAATCAGACTAAGTAACCAGTATAATTTATCTAGAAAGACTGCTTTCGAAATGTTTAAAGTTTCAAACAAGGAGAATAAAATTGCAATGCTAAAGGAAAATCTGAATATGAAGCAAACCAAGATCTATAAGCTTTCCAACAATTTAAAATAACCTCCTACCAGTAACCAAGTAATGACAGTCAAATGAGAGGCTCATCAGCCTTACCAGCGAAGATTTAAAGCCAAAAGTTTAAACCTATACCCCAAATAATGCTCCCGATTGATGATTCCCGCATTCTGGGTTGTTTTGAATCAAGAAAACCCTTTGAAACAGCTCAAGAAACACAAAAAATCACATTCTAGGTGGTTTCGTACGATGATGCGTGGAGACAAACTGGCGGCATGTGGGGCTCGTGAAGCCCACACTCAGCGAGCTTCGCCGATGCGTGGCAGCACGTGCGGCAGTGGATGGCGACAGAGTTTTGGGGTTTGGCTGGATTTTGCCTTCTGAACACAATGGCAGTGGTGGTTTTAGGGTTTGACATCGAGAAATGGGTGTTTCAGGTTGGGCAGCATGAAACAAGGGGTTTAGAAACCTTCCTGGTGAGTTTTCTGTGTTTTCCAACAACGGAAGCAGCCTAGGAGCGTCCTAAGCCTTGCTCTGATAACAAACTGATGCAAACACATTGACACACCCTTGAACTACTGCAAACAGTGGGGATTTTAGGAGACATGGATAGAAACAAAGAGGGGAAGAGAAGAACGAACAGAATAGGAAGGGAATAAGGGAGAGAGAATCAGAAATTAGAGGAGAGAAAACAAAAGCTCAAGGGAGAAGTTTCACATAACTCAACTATCATTCATCAAAATCTGATTTCAAAGCACACAAGATCTCTTATTTATAGACTAAGGCTTCCTTCCATCAACTTGCAAATAATAAAAGAAAAGGACATCCACATGCAAGTTGCTAAAATATCTTGACACTTGCAATGAAAATACATCTATTTGGATAACTTCTTACAAAAAATCTTGACACTTGCCTAAAGATAATATAAATAAATTAAAGCTCTCTTCTATAGTAAGCTATTCCCAAAATATTCTAACTTACATATTCTATCATTTTTCCCTAAAATACTTGTTCCCATATTTTGTATCACTATATTAATAACAACCTAACTAATATTTAATATTTATATGTATTTAATTAAAAAAATTAGAAAAGGGGGTTATAAAATTTTAATAAAGTGATGAGGTAAGATAAAAGAGCAAGGAAAATTAATTAAAAACTAGTAACCCCATTTCTTCAATTTTTCAAATTGAACTCATTAAAATTTTTCCTCCTTTTTCCTCCCCTCCCCTCATACAAACCCTTAGGCTCCTTGTGAAATCAACCTACGGTTGTGCTGCTAATTGCATGATCTAGAATTGTTGAATTTCACCCCTAAACAGCATAGAGATCAGTTTAGAGATCAGTTGTGCAACTATCCTTGTATGAGGGCTGCTCTGAGAAGTAATAGCAATAACATCCATCTCATTCATGTGCCCAAATTGGTTACAGTTCGTACATTGGCATATACATCAATTGATCTATCCAACATTAATACAACTCCATGCTTTCTTTAAAATAAAAAGTACAATAAAGACAAGTCTATAGAAAACTAATCAAAATTAGAACTTACCTACTACAGTTTCTTGACCACATGATTTGTCCTTGATTTTGCAAACTCCATTCAAATATCTAACCCAAAAAAAGAAAAAATTCATGTAATTGAACTAATAATATCATTTTAAAGGTAGGAAAAATAGGCAACATGGCATCTCTATTTTCGGGCTAAACGTGAAACTAATAATACTTGCCTTGCCATCAGAGCCTAAGCTGAAAATGCTAGTCTCATCAGGTCCAAAAAGTATTGAACTGATAGAAGAATCATGAGCAGGCCAGCCAGTGATTTGTAAACCACATGACATGTCTTTAGCCAGTTCAAGGAATGAATATTAAACCAAACCAACTATACTAGATAGAACATACTTCTGACATCAGTTGACATCATTAAACAATAAAAACAACCACAGGTATGGAACCTCCAGAAAGCATATAAAATCCATCAGATTAGCACATACAATAAGGAAAGATGTTGGACCATTAGCTAATGGGCCTTTATCTGATGGGCCAAGGGTAAGTCATGTGGAATGTGTGAAGTCAGAAAGGGAGAAAGGGAGCGGGGTTGTTTGCTATATATATTTGGGGAGGAGGGCTTTGTGAAGGCAGGCAATACGTGACGTGAATGTGGGAGAGTCTCTAACTTCTAGCATGTTAGATGTGGTTTTATGTTTCTGTTTGTGTTATTCAATTTATTTCCTTACATTTTCATTATTGTTTGTAGCTTAATCCATTAGACTCACTCTTGATTATTATTGTGATTTAATATCAACTCTGGAAGAGAGTTCCTTCAGGTGTATTATCTAAAGTACAAGGAAAGTAACAGATTTCGCTTTATAGGTGAATAACATGTTACATCAATGCCACCAATTTAAAACCAAAAGCCAAAAAAAAAAGAGTAAGGATACCAAACATGTGAATCATTCCATCAGTAGCAGAAGCCGCTAAGATCTTCCCGTTGTGATTAAAGCACAGAGAAGTAATTGCTGGTGGATCTTCTCCAAGGGGAAGAACTGTCTTCATGAATAGAAAAATTATATATGACTTAACAAAACGCAACTTGAAGATATAAATATGAACCCCACAGAAAAAGGCTCATACCATGGCTTTCCATGTTTTCATGTTCCATACGGTCAATGAAGCAAAGCCCAGATTGTCCAAGTTGTTAGAACCGACACTATAAAGGCACGACGCATGATTAATAGTTAAAATGTGAAATATTAAAAAACAAGAAAAACAGAAAGGACATACATTGAAAGGTTTTTAACATGAATAATTCCATGAGCAAGGTGAATGCCGTGGCTAGCAAATCCAAATAATATGTCATACTATCTCTGTTTTTTAATATAAGACCAAATTGACTAACTTGGAGAGATTAAGTTACTAAATTACTTAATTATAGCATATGTTATATGATTTCTCTAAAATGCTTATGCGCATCATTGGATTATATGTCAGTTTATATGTAAAACAAATTAGTTTGGAGAAAAATGATAAATATAAATACTTTAAATTAATTTAGTAATTTTCTTAATTTTTTCAAATTAGTCAATTAAGTCTTATATTAAGGACCGGAGGTAGTATAATAATAATAATAACAAAATGTTAATGCCAGTTAGGGATTAGCTTAGCCATTAGACACCTGACTTAGGCATATACCCCCATCAAATGTATTCAATCATAACTGTGATGTGAATGATATGCAGCTCCTCGTTCTAGTTTCTCTCAACCTTCCTCTGTTCTTTCTCTCTACACTCTTAATCTCTCTTCTACTCTCTCTCTGTCTCTCTTCTATTTCCCTCTATCACCCTGCTCTTGCCCCTTTCTCTCTCATGTCCTAATTACATTATCTCATCATAATATTACATGCACGTGATTATAGAGAAAAACAGAAACATCAAGACACAGAGTCAACAACCACATTCAGTGGGCTTAAAACTTTCAAAAGGATTTCAAGAGTCAAAAGTTGAATCAGTACCGCCCAGATGCTGCTGCGGACACAAAAATTGGTTCCACAGGGCTGCATTTCACATCTAATACACTGCAACAACATAAAATACTCAAATGGCTTGAAGGAAAAAAAAAATGAGAAAAAAAAAATGCTAACTACATGATTAGGTTAGCTAACACCTTGGAAATGTTTCAGTTGTGTTAAGGTCACAAACAACTCTCTTTGCATCCACATTCCATGCCTTAATGCACCCATCAGATGTGCCTATCAGAAGCTTTTCCAACCAAAAAAAAAAGAAAAAGAAAAAAAGGAAACAATTAAATGAATTGACATCATGATACAAGTTGTGCCATGAAATAACCAGTAAGGCCATGAGAAATGAATTCACATACCAAGCGGTCTGACTTACACTCCCAGTCAAGAGAGAGGATTTCTGTGCCACAATAAATGGTTGCATTTCTAGATGCTGGAGTTGATGAGTCATATGTCCATATCCTTTATAGAGCAGAGCAAGATAAATTTTCGTAAGTAGATTTCACACATATTATTAAAATTGGTAGACCAATCTCCCGGATACTTGGTGAGAGGAAAAAAAACTTTTTTTTGGGGGGGGGGGGACCGTTTAACAAATATATATATGCAATCATTTTTCTTTTCTTGGTTTCTTTCCTGACATGGATGGTACTCATCTAATAAAACTCTGCACATGCATTTTTCAAGTAATGGAGAATACTACAACAATATCAAGACTAGATTAACCAACATCATTTATATGTCCCTATCAAGTTCCTAATCTGAATATATGCATATATATATATATATATATATATTAAGTGCCTTGCAAAGAAAATACCTCACAGTTCCATCAAGGGATGCACTGGCGATATTGTTCCCAGATGCAGAAAAGCGGCACCGGCTTATTGGACTTGTGTGTCCCAAAAATGTTTCCTAGAAACCACAGTAATTTGATAGTTACAGACTCCAATAAAAGTGAGCATAACCGGGAAAGTTAAATGGTATGAAGATGACTCAGTACGAAGGAGAAACAGAGCTACTAAGAACTAAGAAGAATATGAAACTTCAAACATTAGATATGATTCCAACCACAAATTTACCTGGTGCTCTACTTTGACCTCTGGAAAGTCCTCTTCCACATAAACGTCCTCACTGTTCTCTGGCACAAGATTAACCAAATGATAAATAGCTAGTCAAATTTTTCATTGATTCCAATCTCAATCCACAAAGCAAAATTTATTCCGTATCCAGAAAATTAGATGGGATATCAAATGCGGATAAAATTTATCAAGATTGCGTGTTGGTTGCACTGGCACACTGAAGCCTACAGATAATTTTAATATCAAATCTAAAAGGGAAGGAGATAACTAATTGCTTCCTTATATTAACTATCCGAAACTTTTGTTTATGCATGGATATGAATATAAATATAAACATATATATTCATTATGAATTTTGAAGCTGATTTAATTCAACATCCATTAACATACTTTGCATGCCTGTTGCTCCCCCCCCCCCCCAAAAAAAAAATCCATAGATTCCTGAAATACTCCTTGACAGAAAACTTGTTAATCTTCCTCATACTATCTTATTTTATGATTTGTAGTTACAACAAGTGACAGCATCAAACTAGCATCACCATTCTTCAGGGTGCATCAATCATTTTACCAGAGAATGTCAAAAAATTCTATGAATTTACAGAGATCCAGTATGAGCCTTTATACTCCAGTGTCATTCATTCTTAAAAATGAAATCTCTTGCCTTCTGGATTTCAGACATATCTATAATTCCAGGAAAGTATCACAGCTGCCATCAACTTGTTTAAAAGATTATGACAAAACAACTACTTCATGGAAATCCACAATGAAGCGGTAGTCTTAAAAGTATATGTCTACCTATTTGGCGACTGTCATGAACTATTTGACTGGGATCACCTGTTTTGCCATTTCCCAAAAGCTCACCCAATTGCGAAGTTAAATCATCACCATGATTGAAGCTAATAAACTCTGAATGAATTTTACTAGGCCCAGCAACATCAGAATCTTGGCTAAATTCTGTTTGACCTATTTGGGGATTAATTGTTGTGCAAACTTCTGGAGTATCTTTCAATGCATAAATACCTTCTTCACGCAAGATACTTGACGAATCATTACTTCCTTCCATACTGCAATCGAAGTTAAAAGAGGACTAAATTTTATTATACTTAGAGTCTCAATAATTGAGTAGAAAATCCTCACCTCCTAAGCTGGCTTAATTGTTCTTCTTTCTCCTCGAGTAAAGCCTGGAGTTGTGACAACTTAAGATTCAGTTGACCGATATCTCTTTTGAGGTTGTTGGTAGAATTTGCATCTGAACTAATCTTTAGCAAAGCAGGTAGACGTGGCTTTGTTAAGAATATTTTCAGAGGCTAACAATTACTGTTCAAATAAATTAAGTTTATGTAAATTATTCCTTTTTGTCGCCAATATATGACTAACTCCTCAGTTTGATCATCTGAAGCGTACTTCTCTCAATTTAATCCCTACAAAGTTTTCCACGAATCAGTTTCATCCCATTGGAGGATCAAAGTGAGGAATTCATTCTCATATCTTAAACAGATTGAGAGATGAAAATAATTAGGGAAACATTATCAAGGGACTAACTTGAGAAGTTTATACTTTGGACAAAAATCAAAAAGGTTAATGTGCAAATTTACCTATGAAGTACTCTGCCAAGGTCACCAGACACCATAAGCTTTTCTGAAGTGCAAAAGAATACATAAAATATTTGAAATAGTGCAAAATTGCCACAGCCATTAAGTCAAAAAACATTGACCATTCGAAAAACATGTCAATCACAAAAATGATCAAAAATACACAAGAAATTTCTAAAATAATGTAAATATACATATGAAGTTTCCAGTGGCCATGGAATCTTGTACCATTCTGATCATGTATATTGTTGCACCATTTTCTTGACATATATGCTTGCTAAACAATCAATGTTAATTAACATAACAGCCATGACATTTTCACACCATTTTCAAAATTTCATGTGTACTTTTACACCCAAGAAAAGTTTATGGTGTTAGACGCTCATGACAAAATATTTCATAGGTAAATCTAAACCTTAACCCAAATCAAAATGACAATCAACTACTAGAGGCAAATGAAACTACTTAATGCATTTCTCCTCTCTTTTCTTGCAACCTTTTTTTTTTTTTTGGTTGGCAACATATAATGGACAACAACCGAGTCTCACACTATTCAAAATGGGAGAATTACTATGAGGTCCCATGAAAAATAATTGTTAAAAAGTCTCCACAACAAGTAAGCAGCTGAAACCTGTTATCATTTTCTGCTCTGAAACTTATCATTATAAATTGCTCAGGTGCTATAGGACTTTCTTGTGAACATGTTCTTTTCTTGGGACCTTATTGCAATTCTCCCATTCATGATTCATTTTACAACAAAATAATAATAATAATACTAAAGCATTCAAGATAAATTCTTAAGTTTGATAATTCATTAATCCCATAATCTTTGGCCAACTGATGTATCCATATTTTATTAGGTATTTTTATACATATTTCTAAAATTGAGTTAGAGAGGAATTCTATAAATAATTACTAAAAAGGGCCTAATTATTATGTTTTATTAATTTCCTTAATTAAACTAATCTACATGAATATTTCTACTCTCTTATGTGTTTCAGGATAATTAGAAACTTTGAATCTAAGTTAGGCCTAAGACACCATTGCAAGATAATAATAGACCAGGACGGGCGAGCTTTGGAGCCCAATTGGAGTGAAAAATTCGTAGGTATTGAAGAACCAATGGATTTTAGGGCCTTAAGGATGCATTTGGCCCATTTTGTAGCATAGTTAGGACCTATTCATGTCAACCTACCACTTATACTACTCAAATGGGCCCTCACACCTCCATTTAAACTGAAATAGCATCTCTTTTACAGCCCTATGGTCCAAAAACGTTACTCACCATTAATGAAGGATAGGAAGGCGATTTCACAAGGTTTTCATCCTCATTAAATCAAGGAAAGTGCCCCCTCATTAATGAAGGGCAATCTTGGGATTGCAAAATTAATTAATTAAATTAAGGAGTTGTTAATATCAAAGGTATCTACTTAAGAGAATATCCTCAAATATCTCCTTCATACTAATTATTATCCCAAATCTATATTTGAGTAAGTCAAAACTCCTACAAAATCCCCTTACTTTCTCTCCAAATCTTTCTTTTTAATTATTTAAATTATCCTAAACCCTTCCTACTTCCACTCCCATCATGCCGCCTCGCCTTTTCATTATTCACAACTCCATGATTCATTGTTCCTCCATTAAATCCATAAAAATTCTTCCACCTACCACCATTTAGGATAAATCAATTAACTAGTCTTTATCAGTGACTTTCTCCACAAGAAATGTGATCCTCTCCGCTCATATTATGCTACCTAAGCTTCTCATTGTCCTAAACCTAAATTCAAATAACTTAAGTCATCCTTTATCTTAACTCAGATATTAATTTGATGACTTAATTTCCAAGCCAAGTCAAGAGATAAAAATCAAATCCTATTCGTGAGCTTATTTCTAAATTCTTTTTCCTTTCATAATTATTTCATATTATTCTAATATGTTAGTTTTAGGGTTGCATGAGTAGTTATGAATTAAATATGGTACTAGCTTACTTTTGAAGAATATATCATTTAAATATTCTTAATTCAAGGAACAAATTGTAACTCATATTGAATTCCCCGGGCTAAGTGGTTCTGAAAATAAGTATTTGGTTGATATTTATATATTACTTTTGGATATAAATATTAATTAAATAGTTAAGACCAATGTGTTCACCTATGGCTTATATTTTGACTTAGTACTCGTTCTTTATCAACTCTTGTTATTTTTATGGACCGGGATAGGAACAAATCGATCTTGAGGAAGCTCATCCCATTGGTGTATATCACCAACCTAGGGCTAGCTCCTATACCACATAGGATTAATACTAGTAACTAATTCAAAGCGCTAGCAACAAGTGTCATCACCAAGTATCTTGCAAAACAAAAGAACATCTCCGTGTGTGTGTTTTTTTCCCAGGAGAATTGATTTTGCGAAAAATGACCATAAAAGACAATGTACTCGTGGGTTCTATCAAAAGAATTACTTTTCTACCCTAAAATTAATGTAGTATTCCAGTCTTGGGAAGTCTCAGAACCAAATCTTAAGGCTTTAGAATCAAAACAAGGCATGCATCATGTCCAATAAGAGTTTGATTGACTGCAGGCACCATGACCAGAAGTTTTATGGATTATACAGAACTGAAAATTATGTTTTACCTTTGAATATGTATTTGTATCTGAAACATGAAGGGGCCATAAATAAAAGAACTAAATACCAAATTCAGAGAAGGAGAAAAAAGAAAAACGACAGATAAAAAATATTTTCTGAAGGATATGACTGCCATTGAAGATCTCACAAAAGAAGTTTCTCACAGAAAGTTGCATGGCCTCAAACCATTCCTTGGAGAAATAAATGCGAAACTCTGGATCCAAGTGTGGATTCTTGATATATGGAATTGCTGCATTACAACCACTCAGCATCATCAGTTCATGCTGACAGCTCATTAGAGTGCAACAGAAGTAAAAGCAAACGCACCAAACCATGGAGTCCAATCATGGGACCTTTCCAGCAATTCATTGCCTCTCATTGCAAAAAAATCTACCACTCTATCTCTTCTTCCCACTTGCAATGCATGAACTATGTAGTACCGTAAAATGGAAGCCTCCAATTTAGACAAGGTGCCAATTAACACTGCTTCAGATGATGATGAGAGGTACTGTTTGAAGAAACTGAGAAGACCAACTAGTTTTTCTGCTTGAAATTTGGGAATATATACTGAGAAAATTAGATCTAAGATCTTATCTACTTGAAAACCTTTACAAATATCAGCCCGCAATTCACTTTCATAAGTTTGAAGTGTACTAGTAAATCCTCTGAAAATGAGGAACTCTCTCACTAGCTCCTCAGCATACTCCATGTTCTCCATCCTGTCCTTCCAGACCTACAGTGATGAATAATAACGCCTGAATCTTCTAGAATTTCACAAAGCAAAGGAAATTTCTTGCCAATTGAATGATTCAAATTATCAACGAAGTTACTAGTTCAAGAAAAACTTACATGACAATCAAAGCTATGCATATACAATGGCAACCAATATCATGTTAGAACATATACAATGTGCCAATGCCAGAATAATTCTATTGAAAACATTCACATATTCCCCATACAAATGAAATATAGAAAGAAATTCACCTCCGATCAAAATTCTAATACCCACAAACTCGGGACCAACATAGAGCGACGATTGAGAACGAAGACTCTAGTGCATCTCATAGGCGTTTCAAACAAGTACAGCATCCAATAACGAAACAATACAAGCATCAAAAGATCATAGGTCCCCGGAAATTAAAATACAATCAGCCCAAAAACAGAACAATTTGAATTAGATTGACATAGGGGGAAGTACCTAACAGAATCGCAAACGAATGAAGAAAGAAAGAATTAAGCGTCTGCAACGCATGAATAGTAGAATGAACAGAAATCTGCTGAGACGAGGAATTGGTATTAGCTTCGAAAAGAAGTGAAGTGGCGCTGAAATCAGTACGCAAATTTGCGCCGCTATCTGTTCCAACTGAGCACCGGAATTAGATTTAGGAGAAAGCGACGGTCGCAAGGGCGAGCATAGCCTGACCAACCAAACACCAGCACGAATCTGGCTCGCGTCTCACACTCTCACTCGACCGGACGGCCAAATTACAACGGAACTGTTGATGGAACTTGGCTTTACTGGAGCAAAGGATTGGAGCCTATTTTCTTGCAAAAATTAAAAACAAAAACACAGTTTAGTTGTACCAGCGTGTCAAAGTTCAAACCCCCTTACAGGTTCGTTCCGGGTACGGGTAAGTTGAAAGGATCCAGGCCCTCTCTTACTGCTTCTCTCTTCTTCTCCTAATCCCTTCTTACCTCAGAGGATGTTTGATGTTTGCATTACTGAAAAAGTACTTTTGAAAAAAAAAAATTTATAAATCAAGGTAAATTTTTTTATATATTTATTTCATACACTGTAAAAGTATTTTTAAAACTATAGTTTTATTTCATAAACGGTTTGGATCTAACATTTAACTACTCCTTCTAGGACAATCTTTTTGTCCTTTCCATAAAAGCCCATGATAGTTTCAAGGGAAAATTGGTGGTAATCCCAGTTTACAAAATTAATTAGGCAATTATACCCCAAACATTTAGGCCCTTGAGTATAATTAGTTATAGTGAGAGAAAGATTAAATTACCCTATTTGCATATTGCTAATCCAAAATTGCATATAGCTAATTCTGATTGCATATTGTAGATACCCAATTGTATATAAAATTTTATTACATAGCACATATCCTAATTGTATATCATTGATCTAAACTTGTATATTGCTTATTTTAATTGCATATTATGGATGGATATGGGATCTCATTACATATCACGTATCCTAATTGCATACCATTGCTCTAAAGTTGCGTATTGATAGTTATTATTATTTATGAGTACTATACAAAGAAATTTGTATATGTAAATAGTAATGCATATGCCATTAAATTAAAACCAACAATATACAAATTTGGGTTAATGATATACAACTGGGGTTCATGATATGCAATAAAGTTTCATATGTAACTAGGCATCCATACATGTAATAAGAATCACCAATATGCAATTTTGGATCAATGATATGTATTTCTGATAGGTGATATAAAATAAGATCTCATATGCAACAAGACATCCGTAATATGCAATTAGAATCAACAATATGTAACTTTAAATCAACGATATACTAATAAGATCCGTGATATGCAATAAAGATCCCATATGTGACTAGGCATCTACAATATGCAATTAAAATAAACAACATGCAAGTTTGGATCAATGATACACAACTATGGTCTTGAAATGCAATAAGAATCAGTCATCTACAACTTTAGATCAGCAATATGCAATTTGGGTAATTTGGCTTTTCTCCCACTACAATTAATTATACTTAAGGACCTAAATGTTTCAAGTACGATTGCCCAATTAATTTTTGAAGTAGTGATTTATCTCTAATTTTTTCTATTCGATATCAATAGAATTCTATGACAAATTTAATGTTTTTAATGATGATACATGTAAATTAGCAAAATCTTATAATAAGGATCCGAGGAACTATAAAACTATTTTATACTATAGGTGTAAAAACTACACCTTACTGAAAAATTAATTAGCAAATGTTCTTTAAGGGCTTTGTGCAACTTTACTTTCCAGATATGCAACTTAATTTGCCTTATGTAAAATCTATCTTCCTTGGTTCCACATCTTTTTTCTAAAGTTGAACTGTCATATAATCTATCTTCCCTAGTTCCACATCGTTTTGTGCATATATCTATACATATATATATTAGCTCTTAGTTGCAATGACATACATAAAAGATAAATTGTGTAACTAAACTTTTAAAATCTAAAAGTTAGTGTACCTGGATCAAGTAAACTTGATCATGTGGTTTAGGTGAGAGCAAGAGACAACTAATAAGAAAGGAAGGTTTGCAATGGTGGGATTAATTATTCATGATGGAATGAAAGAAATGAAGGAAGGAGATGTTAGGTGTAGAGAAACATTGCTCGCCATCAATATTGATTGAAGGGCAAAAAGTATAAGCCATCTGTGCAATTGATGGTCAGAAAAGGAACCAAGAAACAAAAGTAACAGGCGGAGATGGTATGTATGAGAGGAGGTGAGAACAAGGGAAAGGAAAAAAATAGGATCTAGGTTTAAGTATTTCACTATTAGATTATTAAGATATAATTTTGGGAGAATATTGATTAAATCCAATTGAAATATCAAAATTTAAATTAAGACCTATACTTTTAACAAATCCCCGATTAGACCAATAGGCCTTATTAGGGATTTTTAAATATTGTTAAAAGACTAAAATGCCTTTTTACAATTTAAAATAATATTATTTTGAAAAAAAATTAGACTACGAAAACTTGATAAATGGAGACCATTATAAATACCTCTCCTCCCCCATTTTAGTAGAGATTTTCAACCAACATCAAGGGTAGGGAGAGGGTTACAGAATTTTGATGAGAAAAAGGAGAAGTGGAAGAGCAAGAAGCTTTAAGCCAAGTCAAGCTTTAATACAAGGTAAGATTGTGGACTTTGCTATAGTTTATGTTGCCCTTTGTGTTGTTAAGCTTGATTATGATTTTTTAAGAGTTTTGGAAGCATGAAATCTTATGATGAGGTGCTATCCAATTGTGATTAAGCTAAGCAAAGGCTTAATTGAAGTTAGATTAATGATTAAGAGGAGGAAAAGAGTAGTAGTCAAGTGGTTTTGTAATAAAATTGGAAAAAATCCAACTTCCCCTTAACCTTTGTAGAATTTTGACCAAGACTAGGATTTGAGTTAGGGTTGAATTTTAATGATTTTGATCCTTTCAATATGTTTGGAATGAAAAAAATGTGTGGGGTAGAAGTGAAAAAGCAAGTTTAAAAGCATTAAAATTAAAAATAGAATTTTTGCCTCAAAAACTCTAAGTATTTGGCCATGATGATTTGAAGGAGGAGTTAGATTTTGTTAATTTCAAACTTGAAAATTGATTGTATATGTAAAATTATGTGAAAATAGTATGTGGAATTAATTTTAGAAATGTTAGAATTAAAGTTCAAAAGCTAGAGGCTGATTTATGTTCAAGAGAGTTATGTATGAATATTACTTGTCATCATGTCTCTAATGAGTGAATGGCATGATGCGTTAATGTATTTAGGTGTAACGCCTTGCTTGTAAACCCTTTAGCACATCAAACGGAAGCATGTGGAATTACATTTGATAGAGATTTGTGCTTTTCGTAAGCCATATAAACCATACATCACACATGAAGGCATATACAAATGACTTAAATTTAGTTTACATCCATTTTCTGGCCATGAGTTATTACATCCATTCACAATAATTACAAGCTCTAAAATTCAAGGCACATATATTCATAATTCTAGCAAATACATGAGCTTCTCCTTTTTTTCATCTCCATTCCTTTACCTTGCCTCTTGATATTATAGCCCTTAGATGGTGTATTTAAATAAGAAAGGGATGAGATTTTGGGAGAAATTTCAGTAGTAAACTGCAACCATGGTACATGCAAGACAATTGCTTGGTGGATGACATGCTTGGTATTAAAATGACATGCTTTCATGCTTGTAATGAAACGTCCTGTCTTTAACCCATCAGAGCACACATTCGTAAGCGTTATGGCTTAAGCAGATCATGACACAAGCCTGTGGATTTAAAATTTCAAAATAATTACTCGGGTTACTATTCATTGTTTAATTTCCGGATTACAAGTCTAATTTCAAAAATTCATAATTAAATCGATAAAAATTGTATTAAGGTGTTCTAAAATTCTATAAAAATATATTTTGATGCTCTTTAAGAAAAAAATATCCAATTGGACTTATCCTTGCCCAATTCGTACAGTTTAATCAATAAATATTACTATTCATTTCATAAAATCTGAAACTTCCAGATTATGTGCCTCAATTTTGGAAATTCGTATCTCCTTGTATACACATCCAATTGAGGTGATCTACCTCTCATTTTAAAGCTTGGGATGTTTACTATGAGTCTGTCAAATCTCGTGACTTAACTCATTTGTTTGATAGGTCAAACTGGAGCTACAAACTCACTGCTCCAGGACCTACGTTTTCTCCCTTAACATCTCTTTACTTTAATTCTTTTTATTTCTTTGGCATACATAACAAGGGCTTACTCTTTCCCATTCATGCTCATACACTTCTATTCATGTCATAAATATTATAATTAATTACATGGCATCATAGGCATCCATAACATAAATTACATAATAGGAGAATTAGACATTGAATAATAATATCATTCATTAACATGAACAATTCTCCACTTTCTTCTCCTTGCTTCTCGTGCCATTATTGCCCATTGATGATTGACCTAAATGGTTGGTTAGGGAGGGGGTGAGATTCGGGAGAATCTCAGTAGCAAACAATACCATATTAATCATGCTAGATGGATGCAATGCACTACATGCAACTTACTTGTTCTGTTGTTAGTTAGTGACATATTAGTATGCTTAAAGCTACCTTCTTGATGCATGGCCATGGAGACATAATCTACTCATCATAAATAGCATTTACAACAGCCAATACATGTCACAACAACATTCAAACATCATGTACAGCAACACACAAGCATACAACATCAAGCAATGATAATAGGTAAGTTCACTACCTTGCACCTCAAGCTTTCCTCTTACTTTTTCTTTGAGTCCCTTGACTTTCCAACCATGTGGGCATTCGGTCAATATCACCAAATATCCTCTTGGATGTTCCAAGGTCCTAAACATAGTAATAATGATCATACAATCTATTAGGACCACTAGATTACATAATATTCAAGACTAGCTCTCTTGAACCTCAACCCTTTCTCTTGCTTTTAGGGTTTTCTTTCTAGCTTTTCTAACATAAATCTCATCATTTCCCATCCTTAAGATCTATTTCTTATCAATTAGGACCACTTTAGATGGCCTTAGATTCAAGAAGATCAAATCTGAAAATCTTGCTTCGCGGGTACTGTTCACACAAAAATTTCAGAATTTTTGCTCAACTTTGAAAATTCATAATTAATTCTAGAAAAATCAAAACTGAGTGGTTCTAAGTCTCACTGAAAGATCCTTAAGTTTTATTTAAAGAAAAAATAGTTTCAGGAACCAATTCTATGGTAAACAGTACCGGAATTGTACGGAACTCGACACTCTTCCAAAGGT